GGTTTGGATAGCCCACAGACATACCATAAAAATTTCTAGGACCCATAATTGGTCTCCTTTAAGGTTTTATTATAATTTTGAAAAAATATTTATTAGCAGTAAACGTTAGATCAAATCGAGTCCAGTTATTGTCAGCCATAAAATGTGAGCTGAGAAGTTCTCCCATCTAAGCTATTTTAATGTTGTAAAAACTGATGAAACTAGCTGCCAGTTTGGTTCAAAGCAGTTAAGGCAGCATATTGAAACCTTATTTTTCTGAAATTCAGTACAGCCCGGAAGAGAAAAGACAACACTTATTTCTTAAGACCAAACAAAAATGAGGTTATTAAAGCATCAAAGTATGACACAAAACATCAAAGTCTGTCAAAAAACATGCTATTCAAGATTGTGTACATTTTTTTCAAATAAAWAGTATTCTTTCTGCAAAATTTCTATTGATTTAAGCATAATTAAAACAAAATTTTCTTAGCATTAAACTAAAAGCAAATAAGTTGTTTTATAGACAACCTTSCATGGAATTTGTCCTTTTTAATGATAAGGGTTTTACATCTTAAAGAGGAGCTGCTTCTTTAATTGAACTGTTTTTTTGTGTTGTAAGACTTTAGACAAAATGCAYAATATTTGCCTCACCCACCCTTTTTGTTTCTGTCAGGTCGATCCTCCCTCTTCCCTATAGATGACAATCTCCTCGATGATGGCCACGGAAACCAGGGTGTCCCAGGAGTTCTTGGCTCTCCAAACTGTTACCCCCACCAAAACGGTGAGCGCATTGAGCGCTTCTCTCGTAAGGTGTTCGTAGGAGGCTTGCCCCCTGACATAGATGAAGGTGAGAGTGATTGAAAGAAAAGTAAACAACTATTCCAGCGCTCTGCTGCCTTTTATATTTATTCTCAATAATCGTCATTCTTCTATTGGTCATTTTTTTATGTCTCCTCAGATGAAATCACCTCAAGCTTTCGTCGCTTTGGTCACCTTGTGGTGGATTGGCCTCACAAAGCAGAGAGCAAATCATACTTCCCACCTAAAGGTATCGACAGAATCCCCGAGCCATATTTCTGTCTAACCTTTTCTGCACTGACGCTGGAGAGCAGAAAGCAAGGATGCAAATAAATAAATGTCACTGGGATATATTTAAAAGGAAAGGCCTGTTGCTGGGTTTCAGTCATGTGACCTGGATGATGCACAAAATTCAGATGGGGGGCAGGAAGTGATTTGCTCCCTTTCAAAACATAGCAAAATGGATCACAGCGAGTACACTAATGCCCTAAATAGGCTGGCTCAGATGAGATATTGTGAAAAAATACGCATATGCGTTTGGGATTCATATTGTCTTAATAAAAAAGACTTGTCATACTGTATAATCTGGAGGATTTACCCAACGTCGAGGCGATTGACAAACCATCTGGTTCTGCAGACCTCGTATTATACAATGAGCCAGTTGAAAGGTTTCAAAAGTCTTGAAGCTACAATTATTTAGTTTCAGGTTGGGTCAAACATTTAGGATACAAAGAAGCTTTAAATGGCCGTCGACTAGTTTCTGCCTGGGTGAGGACTGAGTTGTGCAATTTAGGCTTGGGCGGTATAAATGTATTTATACCGCAGTATCAAAATATGACGACAGTATAAAAAAATTATGACGTTTGTGTGACGTGAGGTGAAGCGCATATGAACGCTGCAACAAACCTTTCAGAACGCTCCATGTTGTTACAAGGGATGGAAATTAGCACCCGCCACTGGCCAAATGTGGGTAAAATTATGAAGTGGCGTGTAGACCTGAACAACACACCCACCATGYGTYCAAATCGCRCTACTGACCTTTTTGAAAACCTCAGTTACATTTTTATTTTGCATTTCAGAGCCTGTAGGATGTTAAAAAGCATTAAATAACATCAAACAACCATCTTCCAACCCGCTCTGCACCTAGAAATAAGTTATCCCTTCCTCCATTCCTGCTTCGAGCACTCTCACCCCCACCCCACCC